AGTCTGTATTACCAGAGCTTCAGTGAGCTAATCCTGAAGTTAATGTGCTGAGGTGTGAAGATTTCTGAAGATGATGGGTGTGTGCAGAGAAAAGATCTGAATACCGCAGAGGGAGGCGTGTGATGGGACGAGTGTCTGTAAGCAGCCCGCTGCTGTCATTAAAGATGAAAAACACAGCTGTCTTCATTAGACTGGTCCTCTGAGCTGGGTTTGGTCAGTCTCAGTATGTTTGCTATTGTTCTAACCCAACGCTGTCCTGTTTCTCTGGAGGTTGATCAGAAGATGCAGGTTGGTCTGCTAACCCTCACTGTCTCTCCACTCTGTTCCTGATAGTCACTCGTTATCATTATTATTACATTCTGAAAGAAGAAGAAGAAGATGGCGGCGGTGTTGCAACAATATATAGTGATATTCTCAATGTTACTCAGAAGACAGGATACAGGTTTAACTCATTCGAAATACTAATGCTTAATGTTACACTGTCAGATATGCAAAATAAATCTATCGTATCTCTTGCTCTGGCTACTGTGTATAGACCACCAGGGCCGTATACAGATTTCCTAAAAGAATTTGCAGATTTCCTCTCAGACCTATTGGTTACTGTTGATAAAGCGCTAATTGTCGGAGATTTTAACATTCACGTTGATAATACAAATGATGCGTTAGGACTTGCGTTTACTGACCTAATAAACTCTTTTGGAGTCAAGCAAAACGTCACCGGGCCCACATCGTTTTAATCATACGCTAGATTTAATGATATCGCATGGAATTGATCTTACTGATATAGATATCGTACCTCAAAGCGATGATGTTACTGACCATTTCCTTGTATCGTGCATGCTGCGTATTACTAATATTAACTATATTGAATTGAATTGAATTGAATTGAAGATGAAGAGGCATAATAGGTCAGTTTCTTTCTCATTATTTTTGTTCAGAAATGAACAGCAATAAGAGCAGATCTTTGCTCAGCCTCTTTTGATCAAACACACACTCACACACACACAAACACACTCTCTCTCTCTCTCTCT